TATGTTCAAAAAATGAAGTAAATCAATCGTTACCAGACTAAGCAAGATCATGTAAACAAGTGTAGTTGCTGAATGGAGGTACCTCAATGCGGAGTTGCTTAGAATTAAGAGACGGGTGAAAAGGTTAAGCAAAATAATTTAGTTACGCAGTCTTTTCTTGGCAATTAGTTGAACAAATGGAAAAGTTTTAAAGGCAGTGCGTGTTAATAAACAATCACGTAGTACATACCCTCAGTTTCGAATGCTATTTGATAAATGCGTTAATTTATGCCTACACAGATGTGAGCAGTTCGCACAGAATTAGAGACAGATTAGTAAGATGCAAAAAAACAGCTAGAAATATTAAAAGCCGAGCGAAGCCGGGTATGTAGTTGGAAATATGCTTGCTAAAAATAAATTCATAAGATACGTAGCTACAAGGATATAGATGCACAAAAATCAAGATAGAGTAAGACAAAGAGAGGCGCAATTAGAAATCGTTAAAATTAAACTTTCGTTTGTTGCCCTATCCTGATATTACATACTTTTACTCCAATGAAAACTCACCTGGACCTTGATCTTCTTGGAGATGGAGAGCGGAATTTTCGTGGAGACCTGTCATCTTTCTTAGGAGATACGTTAATAGGCGATTTTGATCTGAACGGAGGGGGGTCACCAACAACCGTAAATAACTGGATAATTTTTTCAACTCCACACTGCTTTTTTAATGATCTAAAGGGAATTCTAACAAACGCGATCGAACGAAAGGAAAAGCACCACTTGACCAGGCAGTACCAGGCGATACAAAGTACCACGACTCCCACCTTTGCCGATTACGATTCCTTTCAGGAGACATGGAAGTAGATCTAGGGGAAGCATCTCGTGATCCAGCACTAAATAAAAAATTAATGAAAAAACATAAGGAAAGAGACGGATACTGAAGCATAGAACTTACTGCTTGCGATAGCGGAAAGGAACACTTCGATTGCTACTCTCTGAGCGAGAACGTTTTTCGCTCTCATCAGAAGAAGAGCTTGACTCAGCCACGCTTGATGGCATTCTGAAACCATGACTTCTATGAAACCATGAATGATCAAGAAGCGAAACAGAAAATGTGAAAAACTACGAGATAAAGACATATGAAGAAAAAAAAGCAGTAGACCCATA